GATTATAATATCAGTCATAGGTTAGTATGAGTATTTTTTAACCTCATAGGTGTTGTATTTGTCTACTTTTTGAATGACTTAATTTCTGATTAGATAAAACTAGTGTACATTTTATTTTGTTGGATGGATTCTTTTGGTTAATAGTTGTACAGAGGGGTTGCCATTTAACAGTAGTTTATGAATGCAGTGTATATTGGTCAGTGTCACCCTTTTCAACGTTCTGCCTACCCTTCCCTTTTAACATTGTGCAGTCTGCACTCTGAATTCCTGACTAACATTCTTCACCGCTTCATTTGTCCACCTATCCTTCCTTGGCCCCACTTGCCCTCTTGCAATTACCCCTTTCTTGGTATTTATTTTGTTGGGCTTTGCCTTTACTTTTCTAAGGACTTCCACGATTTGAGGTCTCACTTGAATCTACCATATTTCCAGTAATAAATTTCTGACTAATTAGGCCTCACACTGTTTTTACTCACAGGGTTAATAGACTAATTCTAGCTACCATATAAAAGGGAAACCATGCAATCTTTGTCTCTCTGACCCTGATTTACTTCACTCAATAGAATTTTTCCAAGCATCATTCTTGCTAATGTATGAGTAAAATTCCACATTTTCTTGACCTATTTGTTCATTGAGGGGCATCTGGGCTGATTCCATACCTTGGCTATGGTATGAATACTGTTGCAGTGACATGGTTGCTGGTGGCATTATTTTAACCTGGTTGTGATCTTTTGGATAAATGGCCAGGGGTAGAATTGCTGGATCATAGGGTAGTTTTGTGTGTTTTTCTTGTTGTTATTCTGTTTTGTTTTGGCCCTGGGTGTTGTCCCTGAACCTTTATGTGTGTTCAAGCCTAGCATTCTACCACTTGAGTCACAGAGCCACTTCTGTCATTTTCTAAGTAGTTTATTGGAGATAAAAGTCTGGTGGACTTTTCTGCCTATGCTGGATCCGAACTATGCTAGTATTACAGGCATGAGCCACCAGTGTGCAGTTTTTTAAGGAAACTCCATACTGCTTTCCAGAGTGGTTGAACCAAGCTTACATTCCTACCAACAGTGTGTTAAGAGTTTCTTCTTGGCAGTATTCCTGCCAACATCTGTTATTGTTTGGTTTCTTGATACTGGCCTTTATAACTGGCGTGAAGTGGAATCTCAGTGTTGTTTTGATATACATTTCCTTTATGTCCAGAGATACCGAGGGTCTTTTCATGTGTCTATTGCCCTTTTTTACTGCTTCTTCTAGAAGTCTCTAAGTCATTAGCTCATTTATTAATTGGATTGTTAGTTTGTCAATGGTTAATTTTTTTAGTTCTATATATATTCTAGGTATTAGGCCACTTTAAGTTTGATGCTGTCTCATTTATCAAATCTATCTTTGATATACTGTACTTCTGGATCTTTACTTAGTTCTTTCCTGTGCCAAGGAGTCCTAATGTTTCTCCCACTCTTTCATGGTTTCAGGTCTTACATTCAGGTTTTTAATCCATTCTGAACTGATTCTGGTACAAGGTGACGTATAAGGGTCTAGTTTTAGGTTTCTGTATGTGGAAACCGAGTTTTCCTAGCATCATTTTTTGAAGGAGGCTGTCTTTCTTCCAGCCTGTTCTTTGACACCCTTAACAAAAGATGGCTGTAGGTCTGTGGGTTTATTTCTCAGTCTTTCTTCTGTACCAGCGGGCCTCAGGCCTGTTTTTGTGCTCATACTAAGTTGTTTTCATTACTATAGCTCTGCACTAGAGTTTACAGTTTGGTATTGTTATTCATCCAACACTTATTTTCCTTGCTAAGGATTGCTTTTACTATTTGGGGCCTTTTGTTCCATATAAATTTTTTGATTGCTGGGGCTCCCTCCCACTCCCTCTCCTCTCTCTCCCTCTCTCCCTCCCTCCCTCTCTTCCTTCTCCCTCTCCCTCCCCCTCTCCCCCCTCCCTCCCTTTCCTCCCTCTCCCTATACCTCCCCCTCTCCCTCTCCCCTCTCCTCCTTCCCCCTCCCCCTACCCCTCTCCCTCCCTCTCCCCCTCTCCCTCCCCCCTCTCCCTCTCCCTCTCCTCCTCACTTCTCCTTCTCCCTCTCCCTTTCTTTATTGTTGGTCATGGGGCTTAAACTCTGGGCCTGGGCACTGTCCCTGAACTCTTCAGCTCAAGGCTAGTGCTCTACCACTTGAGCCACAACTCCACTTGTGGTTTTCTGGTGGTTTATTGGAGAAAAGAATCTCATGGTCTTTCCTGCTTAGGTTGGCTTTGAACCCTGATGGTCCTTAGTTCTCAGCCTCCTGGTAGCTAGGACTACAGGCGTGAGCCACTGGCACCTGGCTTTCTCTATCTTTTGAAAGAAGGATGTGGGATTTTAATGGGTATTGAATTTATAGATTGCTTTGGGCAGTAATGCCAATATCTTTGTATTCTTCAGTTTTATTCTCAATAGTTAATTTAGTTGGGAACAGTTTTATTTCTTTAAGTCTTGTTTTTAAAATGTATTTAGGAACAATGGACTGTCCAACCATAGTTGGATTAGGTTTGTTTCCTCTGCTGATGGCAAAACTGTCCCCTGTTAGTGATCATAAAAATGTTTCCAGGCTGGTGTAGACTGTGAGGACTAGGCATTTTAGCATTAACCTTTGGCCCCTGGACTTTCCTAATAGGCATGTAGTCACAGTCATGACTGTTTGTCTGTACTTGGCCAGGCCCTTAGTGGGGTCATTATTCTTGCTTTCGTAAGTCCCTGGATTCTCACTCTGGTCTCCTGGAACTCTGGATAGGATACTCTCAGTCTGTTGAGCAATTAAAACGCCATTATCATTGTTCTTTGTGGCCTGATTGCCAGTAGCTTGAAACCATCATCACATACTTTTTGGTTGTATCAGGTTGATTGAGTCTGGTTCTTGGTATTTACTTTGCTTAGCAAGAAGCACAATATTCTTACATGTATGGCTTAGACAAGAAGGCACATTTTAAGTTCACCAGATAATACGAGTAGCTTTTTTTCCCTTTTACCAAAGCAGAAAAGGTAATCTTAAAATATAACTGGTTGTTCTTCAACAACAACAAAAAAATCTGGATTTAAAATTGTGGTGTTTTTTATTTTTTTGCCACAGACGTTGTTTATGCCTATTTTATATTCTTTGCCTTAGCCACTCAGTTTTCCATGGTATTCCCTAGGCAGAAAGAAATATAGTCTTGTCTGCTCACCTTTTTCCTCTCCTCTTTCTTCCTTCCCTCCTCACTCCCTCTCTTCCTCTTCTTGTGCTTGTACTGGGGTTGAACTCAGGGCCCATGTGCTGTACCACTTTGAGCCATAGATCTACTTATTTTTTTGTATATGCTGGAAAATTGGAAATAAGAGTCTTGGGAATTATTCTGCCCAGTCTTATTTTGAATTATGACCCTCAGATCTTAGCCTCCTGAGTAGCTTGGATCACAGGTGTGAGTCACTAGCACCCAGCTCATAGTTTCAGTTATTATTTACCTCCCATATAGTTTAACTTGTATTTACATCAGTTGTAATTTGATTTTTATTAGAGCAACTGCTAAAAATCTAGCTCTCCTAAGAAGCATTCTTAAGACAGGTGGGAGTATCAAATGTTGAAACAGATATACTTTGAGCTAGTAGTTTATAAGACTCTGATACCTGTTTTTCTTGAAATTTCAACTATCTCTTGGGCCCTGTGATCTCAGAATACTGACTTCAAATTCACTGGTTAGAAATACTGATAAGTCCTTCAAGAAGTAAATTAATTTTCCTGCTGAAGATACTAAGTGAACATAAGAGTAGAATCATATATTTGAGTATTAGAACTTATTTCCATTCTCATTGGTTAAGTTCAATCACCTGCTTTATTTTCCTTAACAGGAAAGTAAAGGTCTGTCAACATGTACTATCTTTGTTTATCTGTGGTACTTTGTTTTGAGCTGTGTACTACTGTTTAACATTTGCATGTTACTTATTTTTAGTTTCTAAATGTATATTGGAATGTATATTTTATACTATGTACTGTCTCTAAAATAAATCTATGACATTATGTATTATATAACTAATAGCATCTCTGAAAGAAGACTATGGACGGACACATCTCCAAATCGTCCCTGTAGGCTGGCAAAGCTTTCAGTATGGGGTTATCCCTTACTTGGTGATTAGAAGTCATCAAGGAAATAGAACAGGATATTCTGTCTGAAACTAGTATTCGTTTAACACCATTTTGTGTGTATATGGTAGTAGTGGGGTTTGAATACAGGACTCGGAACTTGCATGGCCGACGCTCCCACACTTTTTGCTTTTAAATAGGGTCTTGATTTTTGCCTAAGCATGGTTGGTTGAATGTGCAATCCTAGTTGTATACTTAAGTAGTTGGGAATGTCAGATGCATAGCATTGTGCCCAGTTTTTTATCTGAGGTAGAGTTTTTGGATCTTTTTTCTGAGGCTGGCCTTAAATCTTGATCCTTCCCCATGTTAGCCTTGAAAGTAGGAGGATTACAGACATGTGAGCCACTGAACCTCATCAACTAACACTTCCTGTATAAAGTCTTTGCAAAATGGTTTTTATAATGTTCAACACAACCAATTATTAAAGTCAATTGTAAGTCAGTGAAAATACCACTAAACTGAAGAATGAAACTGTTTTGCTTCTTCTCTTGAATTGACAAGTATTTGCTGTGTGATCCTGATAGATGGCTTCCTTTACCTTGATGACTTTCTGTTCACTATTAAGGAAAATATGGAAACAGTAGGCTTCTTGTGTTTTTCATGATAATTTTATAACTGTGGCACATAGCAGGTACTCTATGAATACCTGCTGAGTTTTTTTTCTTGTTTTGCTCTATAGTCTCACACAATCTTTGTTTACTTTGGGTCAGGAAAATAATTGAAAATTGTTGTAATACTATCATAGTTAAATAGTAGAAGTATGACTTAAGTAACTGACAAATGTTCATTTTATGAAAGTTGTACTGTCTCTTTAAAGAAAGACATTTGTAATAATGTACCTTACGATTTTTTTGTAGGAAGAACAAAATAGAGGCAAGCCCAACTGGGAGCATCTAAATGAAGATTTACATGTATTAATCACTGTAGAAGATGCTCAGAACAGAGCAGAAATCAAACTGAAGAGAGCAGTTGAAGAAGTGAAGAAATTACTGGTACCTGCAGTAAGTAATTATTTCCAAATCTCAGATTTGGGTCTCTTTTTCCTGATTGTTTGTTTGTTTAGCACTAGTATCAGGATTTGAACTCAGGACTTGGTTCTTGGCACTTAGTTGGCATACTTGCCCAGCTGGTGCTCTACTACTTGAGTCATGCTTCCAGAATAGCTTTTTGCTGGTGATTTTGGAGATAGAAGGAGTTTTCTGACTTTTCATCCCAAGCTGGCCTTAAACCATGATCCTCCAGATTTCAGCCCTGAGTAGCTAGGATTACAGGTATGAGCCACTGGGGCTCAGCTTTATTTCCTTTTTTCAGGTTAGTCTTAAATTATTAGATTCCCAATCTTAATGAAATATAGGTTACTTGTTTTTTTTTTTTTTTTTAGATTGTAAAAGTAACATGGCTCATTCAATGTAGTGTGAACAACAGACATTGTTCAGATCTTTCACTGGGAGCGTATTTTGGAACGGAAGTGGTGGGGGGGTTTGGTTAGGGGGAGGATAAAAAAATCAGTTAATCTACTTTTCAAAAGTAGTGGTCAGGGGGCTGGGAAGGTGGCTCAGTGGTAGAGTGCTTACCTGGCATGCATGAGGCCCTGGGTTTGATTCCTCAGCACCACATAAGCAGAAAAAGCCAGAAGTGTTGCTGTGGCTCAAGTGATAGAGCACTAGCCTTGAGCTGAAGAGCTGAGGGACAGTGCCCAGGCCCAGAGTTCAGGCCCCACAACCGACCAAAAAGAAAAGTAATGGTCAGTTTTTGAATCTTCCTGTCATGATGAAAGTGTAGACAGATGGAAACTTTTGTTTAGCGATTGCTGATGATTGTGTAGAAGTATATACAACTAATGATAACTTGATGAGCTGAATTTGTAGGAGGACCAACTTACTTGAATTGCCAGTGGGTGCCTGGTAGTTTTCCTGGCCCATCATTGGCAAGATTAATGTTCCATAGTGGAACTTCCTCAGAGTACAGCAAAATGTTTTCTAAATAAAAATAGGGGCTGAATTTTACTTGTTTTAGAAGACACTATTTTGAGCACTTTCGTATGTTACTCTTTTAAGATAAGACTTTTATTAGAGTTCATATTTAAGAATCTTTAATACTTTCTGGAGGATAACACATAAGTAATTGTCAGGACATCCCACTGCCTGCCAACTCTTCCCATTCTCTTCCCTCAGCTCCCCTTCCTTGCCTCTGCTCATTATTGCTGGATAATAGTAGAGCATTATCTTTTTCAATGGGAATTGGAAGGTAAATTTCATTTTTTTCCTGCATTACTATTAAAATTTCATGTTAATGAAAATGCTAGGTATCTATCGAGACACCAGCTGTCTACATTAAAAAACTGGGAATAGCTGGATGCTGGTGACTCATGCCTGTAATCAGTTACTTAGGAGGCTGAGATCTGAGGTTCATGGTTTGAAGCCAGCCCAGGCAGTATGAGACTCTTATCTCCAATAAACTGCCTAGGAAAAGCTGGAAGTGGCACTGTGGCTTAAGTGGTAGGGCCCTAGCTTTCAGCACAAAGGCACTCAGAGACAGCACCCTGGCCCTGTGTTCAATCTCAGGGACTGGCAAAAAAACAAAAACAAAACCAACAAAACAACTGGGAATATTACTAGTATTTATTTTGTCCAAATAAATATGTGTTGGCATTTATATAAATGAGTATCACATCTTCTGTTTTTTCTTTCTCAGAGAGTCTGTTCTTTATTTTGTTGGTAGAAATAAACAAATATCCCAAACGTTCTCCATTAATTTGATGAAGTTAATTCCTTGGAAGAAAAAAAAAAGTTCACGTAAATTCTAGTGGTAGGTCATATTAAAACAAAAACAATAGGTGAAATGTATACCAAAGCCCTTATTTGCTAAATCATGTAGGCTTCCTCTTTTTCCTTAATAAATGTTTGTTCTTGAAGAAATATATGAGTAAAGTTGTTTCTTTTTTTGTGAACACAGCTGTTTCATGATCAGAAAACATAATGCTAGCTGTTTGTTACCAAGAGTATAGTTTTGTGTTACACTAAATGAATGAGTTCACCTATCAGACCAAATAGACCAATGTATGTACCTGTTAGATTATTCTAATTATCCTTTCTATAGATAACTAGTTCTAACTGAGAAAGACTTCTGAATTAGAAGATTATGTTAATAATTAATAACTAGCTAAGGTCTTTCAGAAAGTTAGCTCTAACTTCTCTGTATGCTTCTGTATACTTTCTTATAAAATGAGATTGGGGAAAAGATATCTAAGAACCCTTTTTTTAAAAATTGTCTTTGAATATGAAAACATGCAGTAGATAAAGGGAAACAGGAAAATTCTTAAAATTTATATATTAAAGGAAAATAGCATTTTTGATGACTATTCTCTCATAGTACTTTTAAATTGTACTCCTTGAAATTATTTACCCTGAAGCTTTCTTATAATTACAAGTGATAGAATAAAAAAGACATACTTGGAGGTATGGATTCTATATAGTGATTTACAATATTTCTTACAATAATTTCTTATTCCTGTTCATATTATTTACTACTTTGTTATGAGTCTATATTAGATCATTTATTTTAATTAAACTGAATATTTTCATACTTGTGATGATACCAAAATAAGCAGAAGCTTAAACAAAACAGGAACTTTACTATATTTAGTATAATAACTTTACTGTATTTACTATAATTAACCAGTACTGCCTCTATGATTCTTACCTCTGTATAAGAGATGTTTGAATTAGACTTTTATACAAAATGATATTTGTGCTAACATGATGTTAAGTGTGCTTTTGTGAATATCCTATGTATTTTGTTGTCAGCTTGATGAAACTGTCCACTTTTGGAGTTCCAGGGACCCTGTTTATTGTTCTGGGATGGCTGTTAACCCTGGGCCATCATGGTCCTTGGCAGAACCCCGCATTCATCCAGTCACATGTTTTTGCAATCCATAGTATGGAAGTAAGCATTTCATATTCAGGAGAGAGGCTATTGACAGGAAAGGGAAGCCTTATTTTCAGTACCTAACTGGCCATTTTTCTAATTCTGACTGAATTTCAATTAGTACTGTTTCTCACTGCTTGAGAAAAACTGGTCTGTATTTGGTAATGATTTACTGATCCTCGAATTAGTGAAATAGAGAAGTTCCTCACAATAAGAACTTAATTCATTGGTTTTTATCTTTGCATCCATTAATTTAATCACTGTCCAATCCTACTTTGAAAACAAAATTAACGGTTGCAATTGTTTCTTTATTATGGAAACATAGATATACATGTTAATAGGTGTGATACTTGGTATTTGTACATAATGTGTGGTGATCAAATCAGATTAACATCTTCCACCTCAAATATTTATCATTTCTTTGTATTGGAACTTTTCCTTCTAGTTATCTTGAAATAATAAGTTACTGTTAATTATAGTTACCCTTCCGTACCACTAACCCACCCCGATTTCCCTTCCTCCTACCATCTCTAGTCTGATATCTTGAGTTGCCATTCCATTGTGCTCCAAACAGGTGTTTTCTAATTTTCTTGACTATTGTATGAAAAATATTTGAAAATTTGCTGTAGATTTCATCTCTCAAAATTTAATTTGAGTATAGTGGTGCTTGAAAATTTGTTATTTTCAGTAATAGATATTAACCATGGGGATTGGTAGAAGTTATAGGCCTTTTGTGTTTGCAGTAATCACTTCTGCCTTTCCCTTCTTAGGCTCTGTTAATACATTTTGTAGTTCATAACCACATATCATGCCAGAAAAAAAACCCAAGTTCAGTTGAGTTACTTTTTATCTCATGTGTGTTCACTTCTGTCATCCACTTCCTCTCCCTTATTCCAGCCAGTTTTGTTACCACAGAATCTCACAATTCATGCTTTTACTTAGTCTTTAAAACCCTCAAACCCATCTTTACATTTTAGTCTCTGTGATTTTTCCCCTGCTTAAAAACAAGTTAATAAGTATATATCTATCTTTGTGTATGTGTGTGTATATGTATATACACACAAAATGCCTTAGTGGTTCTCTTTTACTCTGAGAAAAGAATGTAAAATACATTAGCATAGCCTATAGGTTCCTTTTTATGATTTGCTATGCTTTTCAGGATTAATTTGTATTCTTATCTGTCCCTAAAACGTAAGTTCATATGGTCTCACTGCATATTAGACTAACAAACTGAATCATTTTTAATATTTTGGATCTTCAACAAGTTTACTGCATACTTACTATAGGCTAGACACTCTAGTTTTGTTTTTGTTTTTGGTTGATCATGGGGCTTGAACGCTGGGCCTGGGCACTGCTGTCCTTCAGCTCTTCAGCTCAAGGCTAGCGCTCTACCACTTGAGCCACAGCACCACTTCCTAGACACTCTAGTTTTGAGTGTACTAAATGGTTAGATAAACCTGACCAATATGATACTTGCTATCTTGAAACATACCTTTAGAGTTTGATTATTAATAGTAAGAAAAACAGATAAACTGTATTGATTGTAATAAAATACTGTAAAAATATAAAAGGGAATGAAGAGATCAAGAACCATGGAATAAGAAAATAATGTTTTATTGGAGGAGGAGGATGACAACATGCTTCTGAGATGGCATCATTTAAGAAATACCTGAGTGAAATGTGACTTCATTTGGATTAGCAAGTTTAGTGAGGAAGGTGAAGAAAGGTGAAAGGTCAAGTCTGTGGCAAGAATTAACAATGACAGATTGCAGGATCTGTGATATTTGGCTTTATTCTGGCATGAGAAAAGCTATTGGAAGAATTTGAAAGTATCATGGCAATAAGTAGTAAATAAGCCAACGCGGAAGTTTTTGTAGTTGAATGAGAGATGAAAGTAACTTAAGTTGGAGGAGCTGAGAGGCTCTTGCATGGCAAGTGTACTTTGGAGAAGAAATGGACAGGGATTATGATTTTTGTGATAATGAGATGTGATGGTGACTTGAACCTTTTTTCTTTTTCGGGGAATGCTAGTTTTGGGGCTTGAACTGAGAGCCAGGCAATGTCTTTAACCTTT